GGGTCCAACTTCTTTGGGACTCTCTAAGCTTCCTGGATTTCCTGGAAGTCTATTGCCTTTGCCAGATTGGGGAAATTCTCCTTTATTGTTTGTTCAAATAAGTTTTCCACTGGTGGCTGTTCCTTTCCCCCTTCTGGTACCCCTATAATTTGGATGTTGGAGCGTTTAAAGATGTCCTGGAGGTTTCTAAGCCTCTCCTCATTTTTTTGAATTCTTGTTTCTTCATATTTTCCTGTTTGGCCGTTTTTTTCTTCCTTCTGGTTCACTCCCTTGATTTGAGTCCCAGTTTCCTTTTCATCACTATTGGTTTCCTGTGCAATTCCCTTCATTTCAATTAGTTTAGCTTTCATATGTTCCTCTAATTTGTGACTAAAATTCACCAGTTCTGTGAGCATCCTGAGCACCAGTGTTTTGAACTGTGCATCTGAAAGTTTTGCTATTTCTTCGTCGCTTAGATTTATGGGCTCTGGGGCTTTGAGAGCTCCTTGAGCCATTTTTGGTCTATTTGTGCCTGTTAAGTATGAGGAGCAGTGCCTTAGGTGTTCACCAGGACGGGGACACCCAGGTCGCCAGCTCTTCAGGTACATATTTTCTCATAATACCATGCTGGGTTGTGATGTTGTATGTGGGGGCGAGGTCAGAGCAGGGAAATGGCGGCCCCCTCTGCTGCCTCTCGCCACTGGGGCCTGCTTGGTCATGTCTAACCACCCACTCCCTGGCTGGTCTATCTGCGCACGAATGCGCGACCACAGTCAACCCGCTGCCCTGCACCCTCAGTGGGTCTGCTGGTCGCTCACTGGGTGGCTCACTAGGTTGCTCACTGGGTTCGCCTGTTGCAACCCTATCCTGAGATCCACATACCTGAGTGTCTGACTGAGTTTTCCTGTGCTACCCCGCTCCACCAGCTGCTGGCTTCGCCCCTCTTACTGGTCAGGCTGAAGAATTTGTTGTTATCAGTCTTCTGAAAAGTTCAATTTTCTGTGTTCTGGCTGTGTTTTCTGTTGTAATATTTTGTTGTCTCTAAACTTGGTTGTGTGAGAAAGCATGGTGTCTCCACCTATGCCTACATCTTGGCGGAAGTTAGATTATTTCTTTAAAAAGTATGAAGTTCTTTAGAATCTAGAAAAAAATCAGGTCTTCTCTCTCTCCAAGTATCTAAATTATTTTCCTCTTTTTACATCTTTGTGGTACCCACTGGACATAGTTAAGACCGAGTTTATAAAGATGGGTTAGCTACCTCTGGGAAAGCCAGCTCTTCAGGTACATATTTTCTCATAATATCATGCTGTAGGTCATGCTGATTTTTATAATAGTTCTTATAATAGGCTCCCATTCGACCTAACTAGTGTGGGGTATGGCAGTGACTTTTAGATGTGGGGCAGAGAAAATGCTGGGGAGCTGCTCCATCATCCTTCTCTCTCCTTTCAGCCCATGACCAATCCTGGGCCTTGAGAGAGTTGAGCAGATGGGAGGAGAACAGGTAGCAACCAACAAGCAGAATGAGGGTGGAAGGGAAGTCTCTAGGGTGGTAGGCTGTGGACAAGCTCTTGAGGAGCATGCAGTGTATTAGCCATGAGGCGCCTGTCCACGCTGCATGCTTTCCTCACAGCCCAGCTGCCTGCCCAGGTACACTGTGCAGGTGGGCCAGGAGGAGTCACTGCATGCAGTCTGCAGAATCTGTTCAGCTTCCACAATTCTGGGTCTGTGCAATTCATCTTCCTGCCAACAACCAGTCCCTGCTCAGGACCATAGTCTATCTGTGATGCTCACAGCGTCGCTTTACTTAAGAAAGAAAGTTTATCCTATAGCCCCTTTAGCATGGCTGGGGAAAGCAAAGCTATACAGATCCAGCCCTGTCCCATGGTCACCATACCTCTCCTCCAGCACATAAAGCTTTTATAAGTGCTCTAGGCACCTCTGTGGGCTTCCCATATGCCCACCCACCTGTCTGGAAAATCCTAATGATCCCAAGGCCACCCATCCACTGTTTGCTCTAGCCCTCCAAGCCCTCAGCCAGCCATCCCCATCTGTTGCAATGGAAACATTAAGATATCTAGCTTCTCCACTAGTCTGTGAGTGCTTTAAGCCCCAAAAGCCTCACATGCATTATCTTATTTAATCCTCAACAACGCTTTAAAGTTGATTCTCTTAGCCGTTTTACAGATGAGAAAATAGAGGACCCAGATGACAGGTGACTTGTTAGTCTACTTTCCTCAGGACCACTAGGCTATATAGTGCTCTCACCTCTCCTCATCCAATCACAATCTAAGGTATGTTTTGGTACTAACTTTACAAGAAGATGCACAGAAGAGAAAATAATCAAAATGGCCTCAATATAATGAACAAGTACTCAGTCTCACAAGCAGACAGAAATGTAAATTAAAGCAACAGTGGGGTCATTAATTTTGCTATTCATAAAAATCATAAAAAGATTCAGAAATTTAGTGGTGGGCAGGAGTGAAGAAAACAAGAGTTCTGAGACATTACTTCTGGAAGTGTGAATTTTTGTATACTTTTTTGAAATTAATTTAGTAATATCTTTTTTTTTAAATTTTATTTTTTAAAGATTTATTTATTTTTGGAGAGAGAAAAAGGGAGGAAGATAGAGAAGGAGAGAAACATTAATGTGTGGTTGCCTCTTGCACACCCCTACTGGGAACCTGGCCCACAATCCAGGCATGTGCCCTGACTGGGAATTGAACCAGCAACCCTTTAGTTCACAGGCTAGCAATCAATCTACTGAACTACACCAGCCAGGGCTCATCTTTTTAAAAATACTCATCTGAGGACATGCTTATTGGTTTTGGAGAGAGAGGAAGGGAGAAGGGAGAGGGGAGCAGGGAGAGGGGAGAAGGAGAAATGGGGAGAGGAGGAGGGAGGGGGAGAGAGAGAAACACTGATCAGGCGCTTCCTGTGTGTGTTCCAATCTGGGCTGAACCTGCTGCAACCTTTTGGTGTAGACAATGCTCCCACCAGCTGCGCCACCTGACCAGGGCTATCTTTTAATTTTAAGGATACAAAGACCAATAGTGTGGCCACTTTGCAAAAACACTTCAGCATTCCATTATAAGTTTAAACACAGGGTTACCATATGACCTAGCAATTTCATTCCTGTATACAGACCCAGAACTTAAGATATTCAAACAAAAACAAAATGAAATACTGATATATGCTACATCATGGATGACTCTGAAACCATTATGCTAACTAAAAGAAGCCAATCATGAAAGACCACATAAATATCCAAAAAGGAAAATCTATAGAGACAAAAAGGAGATCAGTGCTTTCCTAAGACCAGGGTTTAGGGAAGGCTTGGGAAAGGGGAGAAGTAATGGGGAGACAGCATGGGTATGGCATTTATTTTTGGAATGATGACAATGTTGCAAAATTAGATTGTAGTGATGGTTGCACAACCCTGTGACTCTATGAAAATAGTGAGTGAATTGTGATGTCAATTATATTCAGTAAAGATGCTTTAAAAACCCCAGATGGTGTAGTTCAGTGGATTGAGGGTGGGCCTGTGAACTGAAGGGTCACAGGTTCGATTCCCAGTCAGGGCACACGCCTGGGTTGCAGGTCAAGTCCATGGTAGTGGGCATGTGAGAGGCAACCACACACAGATGTTTCTCTCCTTCTCTTTCTCCCTCCCTTAAAAAAAGATGCTTAAAAATATATGAACCCCAAGACCCTGAAATCCTCCTGCATATAGATATCAGTAGGAACTGATGTAGGGCAAAACATTTATTTCAGCCTTGTTTATAATTAATTGCAAAAGAGAAGAGAAAAACACATTGGATTGTCCATCGGTGCAGGAACAATTTGTTCATTTGAGGGAATATTACGAGACTATTAATATCTTGAGTTAGATCTCTATCTACTACCTGATGGTCATCCCTGCTAGAGAGTTAAGTGAGGAAAGCAAGAGACAGAATAACATGTAGCAAACTATCTCATTTTGCAAAGTCATACATGCTCCAACTGAAGAGCATGTATGCTCCTCAGCATGGTGGGTGAGTGGTGGGAGATCATCACCTTTCTCTTCATTCATCTTTGACTAGTTCCAATGGGCACGTGTTACTTTTATCACTAAAAATTTTTATAAATTAAAAAAATAAAGTATTAATGCTACTTTTAGCTCCAGACCCATATATCCAACCAGCTACTGAAACATCTCCTCTCAATTCTCCAAGACACAACACAACTAAGATCATCCCCTCAAAGCTCTTTCACGATGTTCTACTTCATTGGACTACCATCTCCTGGTCATCTAAGCCAGAATCTTAGAGGTTATCACAAATGTTCTTGCCCTCCACATATGCCTTGTACCCGCTGTACTAAATTCATTATCCAACATGTCAATTTCCCTCTTAAATAAATTTACTCTTGGATTTATTCTGTGGACTGGTGCTCACCCTTCTACTGGCTACTACCCAAGGCTCTAGCCCCTCCATTCTGCTCTGCAGAGATGGACATCGGACACTGCTGTCTCTCTGCCAGGATGACAGAGCAGCTCACTCGCCTGGGAGAGCTGGCCCCTCCAGCTTGGTCTCAGGTCACTGCCTCTACCCAGATGCCTCTTTTGCCTCCTTATAGACCAGTGCTCACCCACTCTATCCTGTCAGCAGCCTTTATAAGTCCTATTTTTTTCCCCACCAGGTATCTTCCTGAACCCACCCCTTCACCTAATTAGTTCCCTCCTCCTCTTGAGATCTCGGCCAAAGGTTCCTGTTGTTAGACAGACTTCAGTGGCCTCCGTGACAAGGTGAGGTGCCACTAAGAAGCACCTGGGACACCTGGAATGCTGTCCTTCCATATTTGGCTGTGTACATATCTGACTTACATCTTTCTATACAGACTATAAATCTGAGAGTCAAGAACTTATGATTTTGTTCCTTATGTAGCCAATGTCTGGAACATGTCAGGCATTCAACCAATATTCATTGACAAGTGTAACTTTTCAGAAAGTATAAATACCATTTCCAGTAAGACTGACTACCCACCTTGAATGCTGCAAATGGAGTTGACCTGAGTAACAGAATCCAGTTCATCGAGCTTCACAGGGCCAGCCAGCTCACAGGAGCAAGCCATGGAAGCCACACCCAAAATGGGCTTTGGAAGCAAGAGGGCGGTGCGTTCAACACAAACAATCCGACCTGTGAACAGACACATTTCAGATGACTGAACCACTGAAGAGAGAAGGGAGTTACCCTGCCAGTGAAGACAGTGTCCTTTGCTAGCCTCCCAGGAGCCATGTGGGCCAAGGGGCACAACTGGTGGCTCCATTCACTGTGGCCAGTACACATGCACTTTGCAGAAAGGAGGCCCCCAAGCTGCCAGGGTGCTAGGCTGAAAAAACACATAGTACTAGATTCAAATTCAATTTAGAGAGGTGAATTTTATGGTATGCAAATTATACCTCAATAAAATAAAAAAATACATATACAGTTGAGGCAGGATCCTAGTTTGATTCCTTGAAAAAGGAGCCAACTGATTTAAGCACACATGTTTATAATTTGTAGCTTTTTGTTTTAAAAAAGTAATGTTTTAGGCAATGGCTTTAAGTGGTTTCTGCATCTGTCAAGTGTGCCACCAACAGACAAACCATGAGTGACCAATGATACCTCAGCACTGCAAGGGATTCTGGTTCTGTCCAGGAGGCCATGACAGGGGTCAGTTCCATGGGCCTATTCCACTCCATATGCCTTGTCCGCAGTAGACCTAATGAAGGGGCTAGTGGTTCCAGAGCAAGACAGAGGCATCTAGAAGCCACAAAGCCATTTTATAGAATCTCTGTCACCACTGGATCAAAGCTGTCAAGAAGAAGAAAGCATACCCTGGTCTCGGAGAGCATCTCTGAAGAAGAAGACGTGAGGGGCAGCTTCGGTGAGCATCTCCAGGATTTCCTGGCCCAGCACACATGAGGGGGTCACACAGACCGGCAGGGTTTTGGGGAAGCCAGAGTTATTTTCATCCTGCACTTGCAGGGTGGCATCAGTCACCATCAACCAAATCTCCCTTTGCTCCAGAAGAAGCAAACTGTTTAGCTACGAGACACAGATAAGACTATTAATTTAACAGCTATTCTTATATCCAAAATTATTTTTAAAGGCAATTACGTTAGATGACTAATATTTACATTAACATCATTTCAACAAATATTTAAAAGCATACAACAGACTTCATGCCTTGGTTACTAGCCCTCACTGACATGGCTGTGCCCTGTGAGCCCCAACCTTAAACCTGTTTAAAGGGCTCCTTTGCTGTCATACAACTGCCCTTCCCTGGCACTAACTATTCTACTTGTCCTCTGACTTAGGAAGAATTCATTGTTCTTTGCCTCCTGATCCCACATTCATACGCCTATAAGGCTAATTAGCACAATGTTAATATTTAGTGCATATACATTCTCTCCTGCTAAATGTCGGTTTCCTAAGGGTTAGAAAATGTTATCACTGAATGTTTACAAACCCCACCCTCCAATTAATATGCTGAAGCCCTAACCTCCAATGTATTGGTAATGGAAGGTGGGGCCTTTGTGGGGTAATTAGTCACAAGAATAGAGCCCTCATAATGGGATTAGTGACTTAAAAGAAAAGACCTGAGAGAGCTTGCTTATTCTCTTGGCTCTCTGCATTGAGAAGATACAAGGAGATGTCTTTTTGTGAACCAAGAGGATGGCGCTCCCTAAGAACCTGACCATGCCGACACTTTGATCTTGGGCTTCCATATTCCAGACTGTAAGAAATAAATGTTTGCTGTTTAAGCCACCCAGTCTATGGTATTTTGTTACAGGAGCCCAAACTGACAGTAACAGAACTACATGTTATGTGCCCTCAGATTTTGGTATAAAGCAACTATCAAATATTTGTTGGATTTGCAAAAGTATTTAATTTTCTTTTTCATTATAATTTTTTCTTTTCTGCAAATGTTATAATGCTTTCTCAAGTTCATTAAAATGGCATCCTGCCCCTTATCGTTGATCAGAATTTAGGATTCAGTAGATGGAAATGGGGCCAAGGACTTGGCTGGGAAGACCTTGGTGGTCAGCAGGGGGTGGGCCATGAGAACATGGTTGGCGTGAGGTTCATCTGGCTTTGCTGGCGTGGATGGTGTGATTAGGATGAGGACTCCACATGGCTAATGGAGAGGACTGGACAGAGAAGGTGACTTGAATGGTCAGGAGCTGTGGGTTGCATGGAGGAGGCAGCTCACATGGTTGGGAGGTTGATTATATACAGGAAATCAGAGTAAGCTAAATCGAGCAAAGTGAGTGCCATGTTTCTCATTGTTGAATAAATATGGAAATAGAAAACTCTAGAGTCAATTCTGAGATAAGAGTCTACAGTCATAAGAGTCTACAGTTGGAGATATTGATGTAAAATCACAACAGAGATAGATGGATAGATATAAAGAAATAGATATGGATTTGTATTTATGTGTGCATGACTTTACCCATATATACCTCCTTGCTCTGTCCAGTGAGAGGGCCAATGACATCCCAGTAGTACTGAGCCCACATAAGCACCCAGATCTTGCCTTATGTCATTCTCAAGAAAAAAAAAATCCATTCTCCTTTAAAACCAACCAGGGCACAAAAACCACAAGATTAGTTTGAAACATCTTATTGTGTCAGAAAATAAGGAAGTACTCAACGGAGGATTTTATCCAAAGGACACAGGAGCTAGCTTGAATCTGGCAAAGTTTGGGTCTTAAAATAAACTACAGTAAAAGTTACAATCCACTGATCTGCACTGATATAAATAAGTGAATACATAAATAAATCAGGGAAATGAAAAGATTCTAATTATAACCAAATGCTAAGTCTTAAATGTAGGAGAATGCTGGAATTAGAAAATTACCATTTGGCCACTAACAGAGTAATAATTCAGGCAAGAATCATATGGGTGTTAAAACAAGTGGGTAAAAGACATAAGACATAAGATATTGATAAGACATAGATATTTATATAGTCTCAATGTATCTTCCTGCAAAATATTTGTTAGACTGTTATTAGTATGAAATATTTATCAGTTAACTTTAGAGTGGAGAAACCTGGAAAATAACATCTTTATCAATTGATAAAATATCACAACGCTGGACAAATTGACCACATGCCTTCTTATATGAACATGGTATTTTCATGTGGTGTTCCTGTCAAAAATGCATAATATGAATGCATTCATGAGATAAGGCAAAAATAAATGGAGGGACATTCAATTAGGTAACTGGCCCCTATTTTTGTAAAATATCAAAGTCCTAAAAGATAAGCAAAGATGATGAAATGTTCCATTTCAAGGGATGAATGAGTCATGACAATTAATGCAATACATGATTCTATACTGGACATTGGTGTTATAAAGAGTCTTAACACATTGGAGTTATAAAGAATTTTTTAGGAACAAATGACAAAATCATATTTAAAAAATGGTAGATATGTCAAGAGGGGTAAAGATTTATTTCCACAAGATTATTTGAAGTTGAGTTTTTCTGATAGTCTTCAAAGATTTTTGATACTCTTTGTAAATAGCCTGGATTTAGCTTATTGTCTCTTTTTAAACGTCTTAATGGAACCAAAAGATATCAAATCATCTTTATCATTGGGTTATGAACAAAGTCAGTAATAATAATATCCTCTGTAAAAATATTGCCATAGAGCTGTAATAAAAAACAATAAAAAATGATTTAAAAATGTTGCCACAGACAATTAGAGCCCTGGGCAGTCTCTCCCATTGGCCAAGATGGCACAGGGGGAGGTTCATACATGAAGCCAAAAGCTACAGGGCCTGAGTATTCCAAAAGCCAGGAAGGGGAAAAAAGCTCTCTCTGACCTATCCCTGTAAGAACTGTTGGCTTGCCATTCTTCCAGGTCACATGACACCTGATAAACCCTTGCTCCTTTTGCACCAGCACCTGCCTCACAAATTTGGCTTTTGTGGCAGAAAGCCAAACCTGCATTTTTAGTTACAAAAAACACACAAAAATCCAATTAATTCATACCAGTACTATCAATCTTACTGCTAAAGTTTTATTAAAAACAATCTCTTCTACACAAAAATACTCTATTAATTTTTGACAAAGTTGAGAAAGCTACTTAATGAAGGAAGAATAGCCTATCAACAGACAAACAGTGGAACAAGTGGACATCCACTGGCAAAAGAATGAACCTTGATCTAAATGACATACTTCATACAAAAACCAATTCAAAATGTATCATAGACTTAATGTAAAATTATAAATCTTCTAGAAAAGATGAACTTTGGGATCTAGCACTAGGCAAAGAGACTTGACTTATCTTAAACTTGACAACAAAAGTAGGATCCCTAAAAAAAAAAAAGTTCATACATTTGACCACATAAAAATTAGAAATTTTTGCCCAACAAACACCCCTGCTGAAAGTATGAAAGAACAAATTACAGATCCTGAGATATATTTACAAACCATTTATCTGACAAAGGCTTTGTATATAAAATATATAAAGAACTTTAAAAACTCAACAATAAACAAATGATCCAAACAGAAAATGGGCAAAAGACATTTATGAGCATTTCACCAAAAGGATAGACAGATGCAAACAAACTTCTTAATTTAACCATGTTGAAGCATTATTATAGGGCATCCAATGTAACACATGTTCTTATATAAGGGGAAATTTGGACACAGAGGGAAGACCTTGTGATGACACAGAGTAAAGATGGCCATGGGACTGGAGTGATGCATCTAAAGCCAAGGAAGGTCAAGGATTGCCAGCAAACAACAGAAGTTGGAAGAGGAAAGAAAGGAATGACCCCTAGAACTGTCATAGGAAGCACAGTCATACCCATACCTTGACTTCAGACTTTTAGCCTCCAGAAGCATGAGACAATACTTTTCAGTCGTTTTAAGTGATCTAGTTCTTGGCACTTTCCACATTAGGCTTAGGAAATGAATACTGATATACAGGAGTGTGCAAAAGTAGTTTACAGTTGTGAGTATGTGGAACACAGAGTTTATTTCTGTATTATTATTTATTATATTATTTATTTGTATTATGACTGCTACAAACCTACTTTTACCCACCCCTCTATACTGTATGTTTCTGTTTCTGTAACCATCATAAAATAACATAACCGCAATGATGAGAACAGATCAGTGGTTGCCAGGGGTGAGGGGATGATGATGGGTGTGGGTGTGGCCATAATGGGAACATTACAAAGTCTGTGGTGCAGCTGGGCATACTGATTGTGGTGGACATTATGCAAGGCTACACATGTGACAAAACTGATAAAAGTTACACATACACATGCACACATGTATGAATGGTGAGATCTGAACAAGCTCCATGAATTCTGCCAATATCAGTCTTGGCTTTGATGTTGTACCATGGTTACTGTGGGTTGGTGTAGGGGAGGGTGCATAGGAACTCCCTATATATATTTTTGCAATCTATTGAGCACCCAAAATTTTTGAATAATCAAAACAAAAGTTATGTACAAAAATACTTTTCATGACTTAGTCATTAGTATAATATTAATACAACCAAATCTTTTTTGATAACTCAGGTTCTTTCAGTGACTCATGGTGCTATTCTAAAAGTCAACTTGCACTACAGAATGTGTCTGCTTAACCACAAAGGGGGTCCAGGACTTAGCTTACTTCATCTCCTCCCAGAGGAAGTTGATTCTTGGTGATTTTCTTTCCCACAAAAGCAGAAAACAGGAGGTATAAAGAATTTTAGTGAATTGCATAATATGTTCAATTGGGTTCGGAATCCTTGACTGTTTCCTAAGTATTACCAATCCGATGGTACACAGTCCACTGAAAGGCATGGTTGCAGGCAGGCTGTACTTGAACTGATAGGAGCCTATTTCTCTTTGGGAAACTTGGAACAGGAAGGGACCAGATGGCCTATAGTTTGTCTTGCCCTAGGGCTCCCAGTGGGGTGGGTGGTTGAGGTCTGGTCATGGTGTGAGTACTTGACACCCACTTTCTTTATCTTTCACCTCTGGTCTCAGTTGCAAGGCTGTGGGTGGATTAAGTTCTGTGAGCAAGAACATGTGACATAACCACCATGAGATTGCTGTTACTGTCCCTGAGGTCAGCATTCTACCTGCAGCCTAAACAGCAGCTGCACAGTGAACCACTGCCTTATGTCCCAGTCCCACAATTTGGAATTAACTTTAGAATAATAGGAATAATAGGTGTGTACAGTCAACCTTCAGTCTGCCTCAAACTCAGAAAGTCGGAGATTTATCAGGGGACCAGACCTTGATCTCGACGGAGCCAGTCCTCATTGCTATTGAGCCAGATGCAGGGATAGCTCACAAGGAGCACTGTTGAATGACTAATATCAGTAACTCTCTTATTCCTTGGAAGAGGCACCAATTAGCTTTCAAATGACTAAAAGGTGAACAAGAAAGAAAAACAGGGGCTGAATAATGGGATGTTCCATCTCTCAGGTGACTGAGACACGGATGTTCCTCTATTAGTTAAGGTCCAACAGAGGTTTCCTGTGCAACTTATATCATATGTAAAACTTGGCAAAAACATCTCTTTCTCTTGTCTATTCTTAGGTGATTTGTTGAACAGCAAGGAAGCAAACAGCATGCTCCACTAGGCTGCCACTACCTAGAACTGCCCAGGCCCTCCCAGGGACCACAGGATTTTCTCCAGGAGTTTAAGGCTTTCAGAACTGCTGAACAGTTAGTTCTGAGAAGTGGCTGAGCTCAACCCGACATTCCTACTTCACCACATTACTGAGATATCAGCTTCTCTTTCTTTTCTACTATGTGCCTATGTGTCCAAAAGGAACTAGGGTTACTAGACTGAGAATCTTCTAGAGTAGGATTACCCCCAGGTCAGTTTATACCTCAGTACTTAACATAGTGGTTGGCAAACCACACCTGCTCAAGAAATGGATTTATTACCTCTTTAGAACAGAGCATGCATAACTGGATGTTTAAAATACTTTTATATTTTGGTACTCCATTAGTTTCCAAGAGAGATGAACAATCGTTTAATAAATTTTATAACACCTTATGCATTAAACATGTTATGAGAGAGAGAGGGAGAAGAAGGGGGAGAGGAAGAGGAAGAAGTAAAAGAAGAGGAAGAGGAAGAAGGAAAAGAGAGATGAAGAGATTACCAGTGGTCTTTGATAAATCACTCTGGCATAGAAACTGCAACGGGTACCAAGATCATCAGTCTGGAAAGGCATTGAAAAAGATTAATAACATCACACAAAACATGCAAATACAGAAACAAGTAATTTAAGAATTTGTTAAAAACAAAGGCATTACCTGGAGAATTTCTCTTAATAAGCGAGGAATTGGAGGTTTGTACAGTTTAGAAATGGGATCTTCAATTATATCAATTTGTCCCAGATTTGGATGAGCAGTGAGGATATAACAGAAGCTAGGAAGAGGAAGGTGACTTTTTACCTGTTTGAAATGAAGGCAGATGTAGAATGTGAATGTATTGTTAAAAGAATCAAGTATAAAATTGAGTCCTTAATATATACATATTTACTCATAGGTGCATAATATCTCTGCAAGGCTCATAAATTTCTATGTAAGAAATAAGATTATGTTGTTTTTCTTAAAAACCAAGTATAAAAACTTGTGCTTTTAAATTTATTCCCAATTCAAGATTTCATTTTAGAAATTTATTGTTCAGAATATACTGAAAACATCATTTATGATGAGAAGAAAACATCATTCTTCCTTTCAACTAATCTAGAAATGGGCTTTCTAAAAAAATTAAATTTATTGTGGTGACACTGGGTAATAAAATTGTATCGGTTTCAGGTGTACAGTTCTATCATCTGTATACTGTATTGTGTGTTCACCACCCCAACTCAAGTCTCCTTCCATCACCATTTAGAACCCCTTTACCCTCTTCTTCTTCCTCCCAACTCCCTTTCCCTCTGGTAATAGCCATACTGTTGTCTTTTTTTCCCCTTAATCCCTCCACCCCAGCCACCCCAGCCCAGCACTGGCCCAGACGACTGTCAGCCTGCTCTCTCTCTCTGAGTCTGTCTCTATTTTGCTTGTTAGTCCGTTTTGTTCATTACACATATAAATGAAATCATATGGTATTTGTCTTTCTCTGACTTATTTCACTTAGCATTATGCTCTCCAGGTCCAACCATGCTGTCACAAAGGGTAAGATTTCCTTACCCTTTTTTTAAAGTAATTTTTATTAATTATGCTATTACAATTTTCCCCCCTTTATCCCCACTCTGCCCTGCTCCCCCAAACCCTACAGCATTCCTCCCCTTTAGTTCATGTCCATGGGTTCTACATATAAGTTGTTGTTTCTATACTATTTTTATCGCTCTGTGTACTTTATGCCCACTAATTATGTTTCTTCTTCCCTGTACATTTCCCCCCATTCCTCCCTTCCCCCTCCCCACTGAAAACCCTCCACATGATGTCCAGTTCTCTGATTCTGTTCCTCTTCTGGTTGTTTGCTTAGTTTTTGTTTTTATTGTTTTTCTTTTCTTTTAGGTTCATTTGTTGATAGTTGTGAGTTGTCATTTTATTGTTCATATTTCTGATCTTCTTTTTCTAAGTCCCATTAACATTTCATAAAATAATGGCGTGGTGATGATGAACTCCTTAAACTATACCTTATCTGGGAAGCACTTTATCTGCCTTTCCATTTTAAATGAAAGCTTTGTTGTATAGATTAATCTTGGATGTAGGTCCTTGCCTTTAATGACTTCAAATACTTCTTTTCAGCTCTTTGCTGCCTGCAAGGTTTGTTTTGAGAAATCGACTTACAGCCTTATGGGTACTCCTTTGTAAGTAACTCTCTCCCTTCCTCTTGCTGCTTTTAGGATTCTCTATCTTTAAACTTGGGTAACTTAATGATGATGTGCCTTGGTGTGTTCCTCTTTGGGTCCAACTCCTTTGGGACTCTCTGGGCTTCCTGGAAGTCTGATTCCTTCACCAGATTGGGGAAGTTTTCCTTCATTATTTGTTCAAATAAGTTTTCAATTTCTTGCTGTTGTTCTCCTTCTGGCACCCCTATAATTCAGATATTGGAACTTTTCAGGTTGTCCCAGAGATTCCTAAGTCTCTCTTCACTTTGTTGAATTCTTGTTTCTTCATTCTGTTCTGATTGGATGTTCATTTTTCCAAATCATTGCTTTGAATCCTGGTTTCCTTCCTGTCACTGTTGGTTCCCCGAATATTTTGCTGTATTTCACTTTGGGTATCTACCATTTTTTTTTTCATTTTTCGACCAACCTCAATCAGTTCTATGAGCATTTTGATTACCAGGGCTTTAAATTCTCCATCGATAGGTTGTCTATCTCCTCACTGCTTAGCTCTCTTTGTGAAGTTTTGCTCTGTTCTTTCATTTGGACCATATTTCTTTGTCTCAGTGCACCTGTTAAGTTGTAAGGGGGCGGGGCCTTAGGTAGTTGCCAGGGCAGGGCAACCTTCTTTGCTGTGCCACAGTGCTGCCTGTGTGGGAGGGGCCAGAGAGGGAACCATGCTGCCCGCCTGCTCATCTCTAGCCTGCTTTCCAAGGGACTCTTATGTGAGACTGGGAGTTTCTCCCACAGGGCAACTGTCATGGTCCACAGTCAACTCTGAGTCTGTTTCACCTTCCGCCGGCCCTGCCCGCATGGCCCGCTGGCTCGCCCAGGTTTTTTCGTCAGCTGGCCCCACATGTGCAGTTTGCGGCCTTGTCAGGGGTTCTTACTGGTCTGGTTGTTTAGGATGACTATTTCTTTAATTCTTTGGTTGTTGGAGCTCAATGCAGTTTGATTTTTCTGGCACTTCTGGTTGTGTACTGATTTTAGATTGGTTGTTATCCTCCTTTTGCTTGTGTAAGGAAGTGAAGGGTTTCTACTTACGCCTCTATCTTGGCCAGAACTCTCAGATTTCCTTGTTTTATATGGCTAAATAGTATTCCATTGTGTAAATGTGCCACAGATTTTTTTTAAAAATTGGAAATGGGCATTTTGGACAACAATTTTGCTGGTCTATTTAGTACTATACAGAGTCATAGTCTTAGCACTTTGTTAAGGTGTCAGTTGCTACACAAATAAGATGACCCCCAACTTCCAGCTTTGGGAACTATGGCTCAAGGAAGTACTGGCCAGCCTGGTGGACAAGGTTCAAGGTGGAGAAGAGTGGACATGTTTTATCTAGTCAATTTTGCTACTTGTGAGCAACTTCCATAAACAATTTGATGAGGCAGGAAAATGGAAGTTCCTGGTTAGCCTGGTGGCTGTATGAATGTCCATGGATTCTGTTTATTAGGTTATTTGAGTTTCTGCTCTAAGTGGTCATTTGAAACGGTTGGGGGGGTGCTCTGTGTCTTGTATAGTATGAGGCTAAGACCCTAATTGTTGACCCTAATGATTATGGTTTAAAAACACCACCACAAATAACCTCAAGAATATTACAGCCCAGCAAGAAAAGCAACCAGAGCTTGGACTTCGGAATGTGAGTGGGTCTGAATTTGGGTCCTGGCTCATCTGGTGGTGACCAGGGGAGAGTTCCTTGAATGCTGAGGTTACCTCTTCACAGGCCTGGCTGTGGCCTGGTGCTTTCGGAGGCATCAATGGAGGCCACAGAGTGTCAATCAAACTGAAAAGTCCAGCTGTCCTGGAAAAAGAGAAGATACTATCAAAAGTATTCATCACTAAAAGTCAATTATTAAGTACCTGGTCAATGAGCTGGTCATAGGTAGATCTGCTTAACAGACACCAGCCCTAATGCCAAGGAGCCACCATTCAGAATAAGTGGCAATTCAGATGGAAAAGAGTATCTCTCTCTCACACACACCTTCAGACCTGACTCAAAATAACAGAAAGGAGATTGTTCATTAAATTATAATACGTTAGCACAATGAAATATACAGTCATCACAATGGTTATACAGAAAATATTTAAGAATGAAACAGTATTTATGTGTGTTCAAAATCACCCTAGAAGTCCTAGAAAAACCCAAAAATCCTCTTTTCTGGGAAAATATTAACTCTTGGAAATCCAGATATGAGAATAACAACAGCTACTAATGATTACTTAGAATTTTATTATGGGCCAAGGACTTTTAAGCATTTTACACATACAACATTTAAGTTTCATGCTAACCCTATTTGTGCAGATAAAAATCATAGCAAGTTAACTGACTTGGCTCAAGGTTACACTTTCTAGCAACACAGAGTAGTTTAGCCTCAGAGAGATAAAAAGTATTGCTGCAGAGACCTTATAGCCACCACACGCCCTCCACTGCCCACCGCAAGGCTGGCAAGGCAGTGTCAGTCTGCCCCACGAAGGGTCGTGCCGTGCACACAGCATGCTGTGGGAGAGCACAGAGGTTCTAGGGGCCGCTACCAGGAGCGAGAGGCTGGAGCCAACTCCAGGTCAAACTATTGCAGAAAAACTGCTGACATTTTACAACTTTCTCAAGACAGGTATCCTTTGGGTAAAAGTTATTTCTTGTTTGCTGCAGGGTATCACAGCCTCCTTGGAGAGCCTGGAAGTGAGAATGGTAATAGGAGAGCCCTGGCAGAGCTGTGCTGAAGAGCAGCTGAGCACAGCCTCACGGCCACGGTGCCTTGGTCTGTTCTGAGGAGGTAGTGCTGGGACTGCTGGGGTAGGGGGTGTCTGCACGTACACTTGGGGACGCTGGGCTTATCCCCAAGGTGTTTCTCGGCTAGGCTGAGGGAGGCTACAGTTGAATGGGAGTCTGGAGAGAAAAAAGCGAAACTAGAAAGTCAAAGAAATCATTGAAAAATTTATAAGTAACCAAAGAAGAGAGAAGAACCATCAGTAATAGAATGAATTATGCTACAGGGGAAAGAAGACTGGAACAAAGTATCCTCTCTCTTTAAAGAAAAGCAAGAGTGTCTAAGTCACATTGCACAGTTCACCTTTCTGACTAACCATGACTAGTCTCATTTGGTACAGGTGAAATGCTCAGAGAATAAGGAAATGTTAAACCATCACTGCACACTTCCTAGACCCAAAATGAATGCAATATTTAAAAAAAGACTATCTCCTTTTCCCAGCCTTTTTTCTTCTGAGGGACTGTCAAGTATCTTCAGGGTTACATAGTGCTTTTTCATCATTACATTTTTTAAAAAAAATTTAGTGATTTGAGAGAGAGGGAGGAGAAAGAAGGAGAAGAAGGAAAAGGAGGACGAGGAGAAGAAAGAAGGAGGGAGGGGGAGGAAGAAGAGGAAGAGGAAGAAGAAGAAGAGAGAGGAGAAACATTGATTTGTTGTTCCACTTACTGCTGCATTCACTGGTTGATTCTTACATGTGCCTTGACTGGGAACTGAATGCTGCAAGCTTGGTGTATCGGGACGATGGTCTAACCAACTGAACTATGGCCAGGACAGTGCTTTCATCATATAGTAGGCTGTTTATTCATGAGGATAACCTGCTGCTGGGGTGGGACTGGGGATGGTAGTGGCTCACAGCATTGCCTTAGGTGTGAAGCTGGGTGCAACAGCCCACGCTGTGTTGGAGTCCACTCTGAAGCATGAGCTGTGCACGTGTGGGACTGTCTCCCTGCAGGACCATGGGGTCTTTACTGTCAGTCTGAAGTTGCTCCTGCCTACCCAGGAACCCTACCTCATATTCTCTTCCTAGGGCGTGCCATCTGAAATGGGATTGTGTGGTTACTGTGGCTTGTATCCTTGGAAGAATGGTAGCCTCTTGAGAGCAGGCTCTGTGGCTGTTCTCCATGGACTCCTTCATGCCCAGAGGAGGGTCTGGCACTAAAGAGGTGCTTAACCCTTGGATGAAAGAGGGGAGGTGCACGGGTCTGTGCTAACAGGGCTACACAACCACTCTTCCAGTCTCACCTTCTGGTACTGCACAGTGAGGTCATAAACTACCCTAGTACCTCCTACATAGCAAGTTGTCCCTCAGTGCTTTCATTTGAACATTTTTCATAAGGCTTCATTTTTAAGAAATCTATGGCTTCCACCAAATTTTCTTTCACCTAATATTACTCATTCATTTAATTAATGTAACATCAGGCTCTTTGCTAGTTGGAAATAGAGTTTAGACATAATTTAAGAAAAACAGAATGTCTTCCAGAAGGTAGTTTATGTCACTTAATATCAGTTAATGTCATCCTTATACACACAAAGACAACCTTGAATGAATTAAACATTTACCTTAATACTCAAATGCATTTCCCTCAAAGGTTTGGTTTACTAGAACAGACATTACTAAATGCCCCAGAAGATCGCTAATTCACAGAAGGCACTGAAACCTTGAGACCCTAACAAGACCAGATAACCCATGATTAAAATGTATCACTGGGGCAGTGACTTTGGAAAAGTTTGGCAGCAATCCAAACTTTTGGACTGATCCAGCAATCCTACCCAAGAAAACTAAAAACTTATGGTTCATGCAAAAATTGTATATGACTATTCACAGCAGTATTACTCATGATAACCAGAAAATGGAAACAACCCAAATGTCTGTCAGCTGATGAATGGATAAATAAACCTGGCACAGTGGAGCATCAGGCAGCTGTAAACAGGAACGACGTACTGACAGACCACAATAGAGATGAATCCTGAAAACACGATGCCGAGTGAAAGCAGCCAAGCACAAAAGGCCACAGATTGTATGTTTCCATTTACACGAAATGTTTAGTGTATGCAAATCCATGAGGCAGAAAGCAGATTAGTGTTTTCAGGGGCTAATGGGCATAGGGTTTCTTTATGGGGTCATAAAAATGTTCTGGAATTAGATAGTAATGGTTGCACGATTCTGTGAATATGAAAACCAATGAATTATGTACTTTTTACAGTGAATTGTAAATTATAAATTTTATGTGATATAAATTTCATCTCAATGAAGTTACTATTAAATAAATATAATTAACTTAAGACAGTGGTCTCCATCAAGGAGACATCTAACCCTGATCTGAAATACATTCTCAGTTTTGCTTAATGATTTTGCTACAAACATTAACTTTCTTCTCTTTTCTAGCAGCTCTCACCCAGACACATCTCAGAGTTTCCAAGAAACAAAAAGCTGGGGACTTCTGTAATCAAATAGTAATGGTGTCATCTTTATTGAGAAGCTCATACAGGACTCAATGAACAGTGTCAGGGCTGGGAGAAAGGTGCAAAGAGAGGCCAGGAAAAAGCTAGACAATCCTCAAAACCTTTATTTTGGAATGCCTGCTCTTCCTTTTCCTCATTTAGGACAGGCAGGACGTGAGGCATCAGGACCATGTTCCCCCTGTGTGTGTGCCCCCCGTGCCCAGGGTGAGCCTTGAATGCTGCTGGATTGCCTCAGCAGTCCCATGGGAGTGAGTCTGGGAAGGCTGAGAGCCCTTCACAGAGACTGTGCTGATGCTCAGCATTATGGAAGCTAAGGAGAACATGGTCTAAAACACTAAGAAAAATATATCACTTTCCTCGGAATCTTTTCAAATTGTAGATAATTGGAGAAACTGAAAAAAGAAAAACACACATCTGAAATAAAGCCTGTTGTACCATTCCTTAGTGTCTATTCCTTTAGCTACTTTAAAGCTGTGTCTAAATTTATATAAATATGTAGAATAAATCTGTAACTCTGGAATGCTTCACATTTTACAGGATATATGGTAGTTGCTAGTTATATTTAAATATGTCCTTCCTAATCTCAACTCTTTCTCAAGATTTTGAATGTAAAAATATTAACTAGCCCAACTTTGTATAATACAAGTTCTTTGCATGTGTCTGTTTTGCCTGAGCAGGAAATTACACATACACTCAGTTGCATGGGAAATAAGGAACTCCTGCAACACGTTGCTCTCTGGAACTTTGCAGACAATTCTTAGTCTTTTCTCATGTTCCAAGTGGTACTTATTATTTCAACGGTGTAGAGGCAGGAACACCCACAATTCCACACAAAATCTATCATCTCATATTTCTTGACAGATACAAACATTCTTTTAAAAAATTTAATACATCTCTCTGTTCATTTATAATTTAATATATCTCTCTATTCATTTATATGGTAAATACTATCCCCTACTAACAAACAATCATATTTGTCTTTCAATCTGCCAAACTTAGCTAGAAAATTCATGTGTCTCTTTTTATAATAAAATGTTGGCATGATATAGAATGCAGGATGCAAAAATCAATTTAGTAAGCATTATTGAACAATTTCACACATACACAGAATCTCGGGTAGTTAAAATGACAGATGAACATTAAATGTGGGCAGATGGAAAGACTGCACAGGACCTCTTCCACACACTACCTGGGCAGGAAGCAAAGTTAGAAGTTCTGTTCTGAAATTGGCATTGCTGAGGGTATGTGTTGTACTGGAGCAGCACCCGGCAGCAGGGAGGTTCTCGTGCCCGCCCTCAGCCCTGCTCCACCCCAGTCACACAGAGTAACACATGGGAAGGGTTTATTTCTTAATCAAGGATTGGGCATGAACTACCCACCCTGAGCCTCGCAACCCTGCTTCAGTATGGCATAACAGAGGCAGAATTTGCTGTAGCCATTTAAAAGTGGGTTTAGAGTAAAGCATTCAATATTGATGAATATTTACTTCTTCATCTATTGAATGAATAAAATAATATTTGCTTTGACAGGTTATTTTGAGGATACAACATACAACATGTTGTATCCACCA